CTGTAAGCTCAACTTACCTTATAACAGCGTTCAATATACCCTAGAGCTTATTTATATACACCATAACTGCACATAATACATATTAAGCAAATATATAAGGGAAGGTTTCTTTAAAATGAACATAGACTTTTTGATTTTAATTAGTTCTAACAAGTGTCGACAGGTTGTTTACAGGGATTGTTCAATAATAGCCCCATGTTAAGTGAATGGGGTTTTGAATTTGCATGTAAGGTATGCATGCTATATATCACTGGAAAACTCTCTATGCGTAGATTACGTTTCTGTAAAAATTATGGTTATAATATTAATAGAATGGTTGCTAGAGCTCTTTAAAAGAAAATTTCGCTATTTTCAAACACCCATGAAAAATAAAAAGTTGCAAAACTGACTTTGAAGGCAATTTTTGCAAAAACTGGATATGATGCAAAACTTCTGAAAACACATTTGAGTTTATCAACATGACAATATTTTCCCATATAAATTTCAGATCGATTGACTTCATAGCAAACGTTTTAGTACAGTGCTAGAGAGGCTTTGCTATTATAACTTGCAAACAGTATAGCAAATTTGCATAATTTAAAGAGCCATAGTATGACGTTACGTTTATGCAGTACAATGCAGAAAATCCTATGAAAATCGAGCCGTAAATAAGCATACCAGTGCTTTCCGTAGTTAGTCATGGTGGCCCACTACCATGTCCGGTTTTTCAAAATTGTGCCATTTTACATTTAAAATCTAATGACCGCGGAGTATAGATACAACATAGTTAAAAAATATCCATACCATGTACAGTTTCGTCTGTGAGCTCTGTCGAGAATTCGAGAAAAAAAAAAAAAAAAAAAAAAAAAAAAAGAATATTTTTCGATTAACGAAAACAAAGCAGGGCGTTCGTTCACAAAAAAAAAAGAATTGACATTTCGATAACAAACTGGGACTTTGCTCAAAGCAAAGTTCCAATAACTGAATTTTTCAAACATTCTAGGCAAAGCCATAAGGTAAATGTGTGCAAAGTCAATTTTTAAAAAAAAAAAAAATTTTTTGCGAATTATGCACAAATTTGCAAAATACAATAAAAGTTGATTTGACCCCCATATGCCACGCCCATATCCATTTTTTTGTCACATTTAGATAGATGTCTAATGTGACTAGTCACATTGAAAATTTGAAGCTTTTCCATTCAATAGTTCATGAGATATGCAATGTTTAAAAATCCTGAAAATCAAAAAAAAAAAAGTGGAAGTTTCAAAAAAATCGCAAATTGCAAATATGCATCAAAAACCTTTTCTGATATATCGTTGGAAAGGTCTTGAAGAGTGCTATAAGAATAAATTAACTCTCAAGATTAATTAGGTCACGTGTAACACCAGTCCAAAGTTGGCTGTTTTTGGACGACTATAAAACCGAAAGACGGCGTCGGAGGTCAAATGCCAAAGCATCATCTGACAGCCAAGGAAAATGACCTTTGACCTACAAAACGTCAACGTCATCAAGGGTCAAGGTCATAAGAAATAAGCTTTCAAACTTTGAAAAAATTCAACCGGGAGTTGCAAAAATGCAAAAGCAAAATTCAAAAATCGGCTCGCAACGTTTTGTGAACATTAGACAGCAGAAGCAAAATTATTCATCATGTTACAACTAATTCAATGTTCATCTAATATTAAGCTATCATGAATTGCCTTAGATCTTAGAAAACAATGCTATAAATATTACTTTCAAAAAATTTCAAAAAGTCTCAAGAGAAAATGTGTTGTCAATGTTAACGCAAATATCTTGGATACACATGGATAATGATTAGGTTTGCTGAACAATTCCTGTTTCTGAGAGACTGAGACTAAGATACACTGAAGCAGTAAAATAAATTCTGGGACGTAGTATATTAAAACCTACCTTTAGAGGAAGCATTTCCACCTGCCCATCCCCCAGCTACACATAAAATAGCATCAAGTTTAAAGTCTCCAACGGCAATCTCTACACCTTTAGAAACCAAATCTTCTTGTTCTGTCCAGGACTCGGCAGGTTTCACCACAACATTAGCATCAGCTTCTTCATTTGGATTTAGATCAATTGAACCAACCCACTGAAAAAGAAAATTGATGCATCAATGACCTTACTTACAATGTTTTTATGTAAAGCCAGAATGAATATTAGGAGTAAGACTTGATTAAAATAAAAACCTGTCACATATGCACTTTTTTTTTAAAAAATGGAAGATCTATGAATTTTCAATCACCGCTCCTATGAAAATTTGACATGGTTTCTTGAAGCAGAAACTGGATAAATTTGAGACAAGAGTAGCTTTTAAATTTTTGGTTGCTAGTTCTTTGATATGGTCTACATTTAGAAGTGAAGAGTATATGTCACAAAAACAAGACAATATTATAGAATAAGCACACTTTTTTAATAAAAATATTAAACACATTGTGTTTTTATTAAAGTGTGCTTATTCCATAATATTGTCTTTTGTTTGTGATTACTATAAGAATCTTAATTTTTAATTAGACTGAAACATCTGTCTCTATCCCAGCCTCTGATAGACAGATGTCCGCTGGTGTAGAGACTAAAATAAAAGGTCCTGTTAAGTCAGTACTTTTGACTTCTCCGCAGTTGCCAGGGATTTTAACCTCAGTGATAAGATACCTCAGATCTGCAAAACCGTGATATGTTTGGAAAGATGAATAATTTTGTACTTCAATGATACCACCATTTTCACACCATTTATGTCATGTCTCCAGTTCTATCGAAACTGATCTCTTGGTCATTAAAAATTACCTGCATATAGCCAAATGTTCAAAAAAGGTCACAGAGTTAGGTGATGCTAACAAGATAGCTTGCAAGGCAAGATAATATACGCCCACTGGCAGCTTTTATTTTAAATAAAAATATTTAGCAGTGCAGTAACAATCACCAGTATGAAATATTCAACTTTCAGTCATACACATCTTTTGAACTTTTTGAGGCGATACTGAATAATATTACTAAGTTTCGTCAAAATCTGTCAAGAATTGGGCCTTCTATTGTGTTTACAGGCTAAAACCTAAACGCTTTTTTAAGAACAATAACTCTGAATACTATATTTTTTTTTGATTTTTCTGATTTTCAATACCAAGTTTCATCTCAATCCATCAAGAATTGTGCCTAAAAAAGAACAAGGGCAATAACTTATACTAATTATTTTTCATTTTTCTGATTTTCATAAGGATTCATCCTTGGGTGATAATAAAGATTCACACCAAGTTTCATCAAATCCGTCAAGAATTGCACCTTCTAGAGTGTTTACAAGCATTTCAAGAACAAGGGCAATAACTCAATACTAAATATTTTTTGATTTTTCTGATTTTCAAAAGGGTTCATCATTGGTTTCGTCGAATTCAGTCAAGAATTTTGTTTTGTAGAGTGTTTCTGAGCAATTGTGGACGGACGAAGGACATAAGTGACGGCAATATACATCCCCCATTTCATGTTGACGAGTTAACTTTTGTAGACGAGTTAACCAACAAAATTTTTTTTCTGAGCTGACATGTATGATCATGTGGGCATATAAAAATGAAAGTTGCAGTGATGTTCAACACTAATTTTCAGTCGTAATTTAATATTAAGTTAGAAAAAAACGCACCTTCAAAGGTGTGAAAAATCCACATATATAGGCTTAACAGGGCCTATTTTTTTCTGACTCTACTCCAGCCAACAATTGAACAAATCAAAATATCGGATGGAATGAATGAATGAATGGAGTTTTACGTCCTACTTTTCTGCACCATGTGGTCTAATGAAGACGGGCAACGCCATGCAGGGTGCAATGAGGGAAATTTTGCAAGGACAGCGGCATTAGCCTGCTCCTTTTCTATTTTCAACTGTCGAGGGATCTTTAATGTGCACAGTCTGCAGCACAGAGGGCCTCGTTTTATTGTCCCATCCAAACGACTAGCCCCTCTTACCTGCATCACTGACAGGGGGGAACCGGGTTGAAAATTCCGAAGGTATTATCTCGACCTATGCGGGGATTGAACCCTGGGCCTTCAGGTTAGCCAGCAGGCGTCTAGCTCATTGATCCACCGCGGCTTCCCAAATGGCAAAATATCGGCTGGAGATAGATGTTTCGGACTAATGATTTCTAACACCATATTGTGATATAAGATCAAAGACATTGATTGATGTTGTTATTTACTGTGATATGTGTTGGTTTTTACTTAAACTTAAAATGAAAGTATTTTATGAAGATTTATATTGGTTGAATATATCTAAAAGGCCTTGACCTTGACCTAACTCTGTAAGCCGCACCGTATGCTACTTTAGTACACGATTTTTCAACAACATATTAACCAGAAACTATTAAAAATCTATAGTAACGATAATATTTGAAAACTCTGGACGTACATAAAGTCTGGACTTGAAAAATTTAACAATAGTTGAGCCAAGTGCCCCTCTTCCACCATAAACAAGAACTCGTCCTACGGGAGCCGCCATTTTTGTCTAATATCTCGCATTCATATCTCAAATCATTGATTTGTAAAATATTTTTTTATATTTCAAACAGATTTCCGAAAGTATGCTCGCATTTCTGTGTATTCAAAAGAAATTTAATTTGTTTTTTCTCAAAATCTTTTTTTCTAACAGATCACGCAAATCCGGTCGAACGACGAGAAATTACGTGACGTCATCATGGCCTCCTGAGCTGAAGAACAGAAGAAATGTTACGAACATAAAGCTCATAGAAACACAAGAAAACAAAAAGGACTCGTCTGACTCGTGTAATTTGTACAATCAACTTCTGTACTCTTATTGAAACTTATTAAAAAGGAATTGTTGTGATTTATATTTAGTTAATATGTCCAGACATGAGGGTGAGATTTTCTCATTTCATTTTCAATTTCGTTATCATTTTTATTTTTACTTCTTCAATTTTTATCCTTTGCAAAGTGAAGGATATCATAACAACCTCGATTTTTTCAAGGTATTATTGGGTAATAATTAGTCAGTAGCTGTACTGTTAACTCTTTTATGTAATTGATTGCAAATGACATTTGATTAATTGATGAATTTAAAGTGGTGTAACCTATTTTCGTGCAAGTAAGGAACCAACTCAAAATTAAAAAACAGGAACAAAAAAATTGTATACCTCTCTTAGATGTTTCTGCAAAAATTCTATACATTGATTAGAATTGGTTTGTTTCGATTTTGTTTATGAACCATATTTCATGAGTAACCAACTCGACAACGGCTGCAAAATGCCTCACCTATTTTCGTATAAGATGTTTGATCTATGAATACGTCGATAAAAATACGTTTTATGGATATCCAGTGGGTTAATTATCATTTTTTAGTATTTATAATTAATAATATTGCATTATAACTAATGACAATTTCTCTCAAAGAACAATGATTTTAAAAAAAAAGTGACTGACAAAAAAAGATAAGTATAACATAGGAGTAATTTATTGCTAAAATTCATTAACAACATAAGAATATGGCCTACATTGTGTTCCATAGAATTTTTCTGGTAATATGGAATTCGCTAGTTTGTCATGTGACTTTCCTCACTGGAATATATTCTAGCAGACGACACTTGGAATTCCGATTACAGCCATGGCAGATTGACTGTCCTAAATCTACATCTGGGCCCCGTTCCACTAAAGTGCGTAAGTTTACGCAAAATATTTTTTCGTAAGTTAATCTTACGCAAAAACTTACGCCTGTTTCACTAAAGGACTTACGATCTTTCTTTTGTAAGATAATTTGAGGACGTTTCGTAAATGACGTCGTGTCTCGCGTCACGTGATTTGTGATAGCTTTAGCAGACTACAAAATGGCGTCCTACAACGGAGTAGGCCTACCTTGTGGCGGTGTTACTTCTTCACAACCTCGTAACCCGAATTTCACTTCTTTAGAAGTTGAAATTTTGGTCTACGAGGTGGTGAAGAAGTACGGGATCTCTTATCATGAAAAAGTCAAGGAATGGGAGAAGGTGGCTTCGGCAGTGTCAGATGTCGGAGCCACTTCACGGTCAGTAGACAAGGTAGGCCTATCCTACTGCCACTGGCCTTGTCTAGATTATGTAGTTATATGTATAATGTAGGTTATCACCGAATGCCATCCGAATTTTTCTTACTTTCTATACTAGTTTAGTAGTTTCAGCCCACTTATTGATTAGGGGTGGAACAGACACAGAAATAATTGACAATTATCATGAGCATTAAACTTTAAATGATTAGGCTAATGTTCTGAAAAAGACTAGATTCAGTTCGGAAGCCTTATATCTTAGGATGGCCGCAAAAGTAAAAAAAACTTATTTCCAGTGGGGTCCTTTATAAAAGAGACTATCAGCTCACATCAAGCTTGCCAAGAATGATAAAAATCATTATCACAGACTTGTATCACTTATAAATAAGGCTTAGAAGATAATAAAAATTAATGTTTAGCTCACCTGTATTTCTGGCGAAACTGTGCGTGATCTTCCACATTTAGAGAGATCTTCTCGCAAATCATCAACCAACGTTTTCGCGACATCTTTGGTTAACCGATAACGTTCCTTAAAATCCACATCATCCAAACGAATCAAATTATTCATCCTCGGATGAAAAACTCTTTCTCTCGGCCTATGCAGTCCGAACAACAGGTGTTCTGCCATTTTGACGTTGACGTTGCTATGTACATTACATTAGTTACGTCAACTTACGACAGCCAAACCCTGTCGTAAGTTTAAGAAAAACTTACGAACTTTTTTTGCGTAAGTTTTTTAGTGAAACGGAAAATTTTGTTCTTTTCTTTCGTAAGATAAACTTACGCAAAATTTAAGCGTAAGAATGTTAGTGGAACGGGGCCCTGGCCTTTTATTTCCATAACCAAAAATTCAGATTCATTAGAAACTGATGTAAATTAAGTCCAAAACATACATCAACAGTCAAAGATCAGAAGATTTCTTTTCACTGTCTATACTATTGTATTCTGAAAAGTAAGCTTACTTCTACCATTGTCATTGAAGAAAATAAGACAACCTAGTTTTTATTACAAATGATTTCTAAACCGAAACTGCCCCATAAATAAATGTCTTTTAAGACATTTGTGTCGAATGATTTTATACATATATACAGGGTACAAATTACAGCATAGCAGTTTTTTGCTCTATAGGTCGAAACTGCATAGCAGGTTTCGATTTTATGGAAAATTTCTTCTGTGATAGTTGAAATTGTATAGCACTTTTATAATGATGTAGAACTCTTACTATGCTATCAAAAAATTACTTTGATTCTTGAATTTAATTTTAAATCATGTTCAAAGTATAAAATAAATACTAAAGAATAAAGCATATCTTTAACTTCCACCAGGACGAAAAAAATTAACAAGTTACCCTAACGCAAACACCGTAATATTGAGCGTTAATATTACATTTCCCACAACAGTGATTCTATTGCTCTTGTACCATTTTTACATTATTTCTTCAATAATGGTTTACCTGGTTTCCCCCTGTCAGTGATGCAGGTACGAGGGGCTGACATGGAAAAAGCGTGTAGTTGTTCGGATGGGACAATAAACCGAGGCCCCGTGTGCTACAGGCTGTGCAGGTTAAAGATCCCTCGGCAGTTGGAAATCGAAGAAGAGCAGCTAATGCCGCTGTCCGCATTGCACCCTGCATGGCGTTGCCCGTCTTCATTAGCCCACATGGTGCAGAAAAGTAGGACGTAAAACTCATTTCATTTCATTTCATTTCAATAATGGTTTTTTATCTTCCATTTTATTTTTGAATTGATCTATACATGAATTTGTCATAATTATTCCCATAAATTTTCATTTCGCACATGTAGGATTCTCAATTTCGACATGATAAAACAAAAAATAATATTTAAAGCTCGGAGTTTACGATGCGATACCAATTATTTTGTTCCCTGATATATTGGTGGTGCTTTTCATTGAAACGATCTTGTCTGGGGTGAATTATTGAGTGATGTTCATTTTTCATTTTTAGGAGTAAGCTGTGATTCATGTTTAAAAAATAACTTTCGAGGAAAACGATATAAGTGTTTGATTTGTTATGATTATGATTTATGTTCCACATGTTATGAAGCTGGGGCAACCACTACCAGACATACAGCAGATCATCCTGTACAATGTATTTTGACCAAAACAGATGTTGGTAAGTTAAAAATAAAATGTAAATGTCTTATGACTTGAGTAGTGGATAGTAAGGGTCACCAATTTTTTCCTAATAACCCATTTCAATGTATGTATGGTACACACCAATTTTGTTGTCATTTCTTCTTTTCTCACATTGGAAATTAGTTTATTCTTTTGACTTTTCAGATTTCTTTTACGGAGGAGAAGCTTTAACAGCAGAACAGCCTCAGTCTTTCACATGTCCTTATTGCTGTAAGATGGGTTTTACAGAAACAACATTACACGAGCATGCTACATCGGATCATTCTGATGTGTCAACTGAAGTGGTGGGTATAATTGTTAATTTAGTGTAGAAATTAGTATCATTCATATGAAAGAAAGATAAAAATTGTTTAAATTGAGAACAATCAAGTTTGCAGATAAAGTTCTTTTGATGAAACCTTTTGGAAACTATCCCATATCTGGGGAAGCAATTAAAATGGTTTGTTAGGTTTGGTTTAGTGTAAAGTTCTAATACTACTGCTTAATATATAATGCTGGTGGTCTTTTCTATTGGGTGAAACCTGCAAAAATGTAGGTTAGTAGATAAAATAATAAAAAAAAATGTTTTAGTTCATTTTCCCAAAGATTCAATGGCTTTTGTTTTTGAAACTGAATGCTTAAGTTGGCTTATTAAAACACTATATTAAATTTATCTGTATTTATATTTTTTTATATTCTAGGTTTGCCCAATTTGTGCTTCACATCCAGGAGGTGATCCTAACCACATGACTGATGATTTTGCTTCACATTTAACGATAGAGCACAGAGCTCCAAGAGATATTATATCCTTTTTTATTCTTATTTTTTTTTCATTTCATTTCACAAACATGCTTTTTAAACTTTCAATGTGACAGAACATTCACTATACATAATATGGTAGTTAAGGCTATTAAAGAATCTATGGTCATGTGATGTTGATACCAGTTCTTCCAGATACTAGTTCTTCCTTGTAACTTATCTATTTAGAGAGCTGAAATCATACACTGTGCATACAATGTACATACTTATTTCATCAAATTATTATATGTCTTTTATTATTCTAAAGTAATACTTCTAGTGCTTTTATTAGAATGTTTTGGTTTTAGTCAGTTTGATATTATCCTTAACTTTGTTTCACGATGAACCATCAGGGATGAGACATGTTCGACGTATACCTCATCCAGGTCGTGGAGTAAGTGGTTCCAGAACTAGAAGAGCTAATATGCATTTTGCTTCAGCTGGTAATACGTTAACTGGTTTATCATCTAGTAATAGGGAGACAATGGATCCTATAGCTGGTAGGTATTTCATTCACACAGCAAGGCCTGTCATAGAGACTATAACATTATTTTTATATAAGGGACAGAGATGTACATGAAAAAAGAACAGATCCTGAAAATAAACATCTTGTTGTGGATGTTTAGTGGATGAATGCATATAGTTAAAGGGATACTACGTCTTAGAATACACCCGTCCTGTGGCTAATATTTGTGTTTAATAGTGACCATTGGTTAAATAAGTATGCATCCCATACTTTATCAAGTTTGAAAAAGCGACAATAAGACTATAAACAAAATTTTAAAAAAAAGTGAGCAAGCGACAAGTTCGTTGAGATTGAGAAAAAAAGAGTCTGGGTAATTGGAAACAATCATCTTCCGGTGTATACAAACAAACTTTGCCAATGATTAATATTTGTTGAAAATTGTGTCAGTGGTGGAGTATTCATTCTAAATTATATGAATTGCTTTTTCATGGAGTCGCTTAATCTCCTACGAACCATTATTATTCCGTCTTCAAAATATGTCTGACAATGTCGAGGTCAATTCAAGAGTAGAGGTCAAGGGCCCGGGAAACCCCACATGAGAGTTACTTCCCCTTGAAAATTACACCGGATTTCCTAAACTCACGATTTGAAAATGGATGTATTAAGCGTTTTATAATTAATTACTTGATTTTGTGGATATATGGGATTATAGGGGGATTTTGATGTATATTTAGGACACCAGTAAGTCCACTGATGAATATATACTGTTATTGGCCAAATTTGAGCAAAATGAAAATTTTATGTTCATCCTAAGACGTAATATCACTTTAAATGTGCCGCATTTGCTCACTGCTGCAACCCAGTGTGATACAGAACAATTATACATACTAGAATATTTTGTTTTTAATTCTATATATATTTGTGTTTAGAACTGTTATCTCAACTATCAAGTGTAAGAAGTAGAGCAGCAGCAGCTCAGAGTGTTTCTTCTCAACTCCAACAATTAGAAATGCAGTTACAGTCTACTAGGTATGTATACTGATTACTGATTTTACTTTCATGATATACATTATTCTTTATTTGTTTTCACTTCTGTTTGCATATTTACTCTTTAAATTAAAATGTAATGATCCATTAAAATTGTTTTTAACCTCTTTCCTACAATTAAGAACAAATTTAAAGAAATAACCGTCTTTTCTTCTGGTATCCATTGAAATCCATTTATTAAATAATTTGATGAATTGTTTATGTTGCTTTGGTGATTTTTTCTAACATTAAGTGTGTCCTCTAACAGACAACAATTAGAGAGGTTACCAAGACGACCAACTGATGCTGTCAAGACAATGGTTCCTTCAAATATAAGTGGTAACAGCTTGGATGTAGTCTCTGGTACAAATAATATAACCAATAACTCCAGTCAATCAGCATCCTCCTCTCAATTCTTATTATCAAAGTAAGTAAAATTGCAGTTCATCATGTCTGTTTCAGTCTCATCCTTAAATCTTACTTCTTGACTGAATGATCAGACTAAGAGTATAATCTTGTAAAGGCAGTTGAATTTCAGAATAGAATTCTTGTTACCACAAAAATGAAATCAGTTGTGGCCAAGTAGTGAAAAACACTAACCATTTCAAACAATTTGGCAACCACCCATTTTCAAACTATAATTAACCTATTATCTTATGACAACAACTTTTTTATCTTTGTAGATTAGAGTTTATTAGTGATAGAAGTCAATCTAATATAGATACAGAAAATATTGATCGCAGTGTTTTTGTACAAGAATTATTACTTTCAACGCTATCAGAACAGCTACAACAAACTCATGTCGATGATATTAATCATTTACTTGATAGTTTGAAATCTCCTGGTCCTGATGAAGAAAAAGAAAAACCTGACGTTAAAACTGCAGTTAAAGAAAAGAAAAGTGGAGCCACTCCAACCACCAGTAAACCGGTTAACACAAAACCAGAAAAATCGGGAATGTCAACAGCCTTGGCCAAAAACCCTGCCTCCATATCAGTTAATCAAGGTCATGTTAGAAGCCGTGTCAGTGAAGCTTCAACAAGGGATTCAAATTTTTCTCGTGTAGTGTTAAACACTAATACAGTAGGAGGGACAGTACAAGTTCCAGGTGGTGTTTTGAGTAGTAATTCTCTGGCAGTGTCATCAGTTGGTGGTGTTTCCTTACCATCAGCTGCAGGCAGATCAGCTTCTGGAATATCTCGTGATAGAGAGGCCAGATTAAATCCAGCAGTAGCAAAGAGAAATATGCTCAAGCACATGCCAGCACCAACAAAAGCTAATGATAGAGAACCTCCACCACATTAGTGATATATGTTGTTATAAACTGTATTAGATGAATTACTAACTTGTAATTATCAAAGACTGGAGAATGGTGATATATTTAAACTAGGTTATGTTATTGCTTTAATAAAGCAAATGCTTGCTTTTTTTGTTTTTTTTGCACTACTAAATTGATAGTTTATTCTAACTATTAAAATAGAGCATTTTTTACAATTTTAAATGCTGTTATTGAAATAAGGTAAATTTTACTTCTTAAAACTGTCAGAATGTGATGACAGTTGATAACAGAAAATGCTTTTTCAGTATAATGTGATATCTCTTATATGGTTTGAATTAATTCTGCAATGATATTGTGATAAACTCTAATGACTTTTGATTTCATCATATCTGATTATCAACCATTAAAATAGTTCAAATCTGGTTTAGCAACAGTAAACATACATTGGATTTATACTGACTATAATCATCTGTGTAATTTAAAAGTGCTTAATTTGATATTGTTTGTATTTGTTATTTGGTTAAGTCAATGTGTATGATAATAAATCAATTATTATTGTGAATGGACATCATTGTATGGGAAACTGTTCTGCATTGTACGAGACACTGTTAAATAAGTGATTCATAAGGGCTAAGTAAGAGTCTGGAAGTTTCTGTAATGTAACAGAGCAGGATGTCCTGTACTTTCCAATGATATTTAACAATTATAAAAAATGAAATGGATAAATACACCAGATACAATGTGATTTTGAAAGAAATTGGTAAACATTGTTTAAGGATTGTTTATTATTAAACACAAACCAGTTTCATGAGTTTTTTTTTACTAATGTATTTATTACCAAATTTACTATATATATATTATTATTTTTTTTGTGTAAAAAGACTTCAATTTATGTATGAATGATATGTACATAAAACTATACTAAGACTTTGATAGCACTGAAAAATATACATTATTCAAAACTGAGATTTCACTTCTTGAGACAAGTTAGTAATCTTTGGTGGGTTGGCAATCTGCTCATATTGCCCTATCTGTGGATTTAATGATACAACTGAAAAGTGTTGGGTTTAACATTAATGTTAATATGTTTCAATCCATTCTATCATTGTTACAAGATATCAGATATCTCCCCACATGCGGTTAACCCACAATAATCCACTTCATGTATCTATTGGGTACTGGTATGTTATTGAGCAACAAATCTTTTACAATGATGGTTTAAAAATTCTAGGTGTGTTTTATTGAATTGAAATAATGTGAAATTGTAGATACTGCAGACTTTCAATGCAATTGACGGATTCATGAAATAAAAATATATAATTAAAAAAAATTAAGCTTGTGAATCACTCTCTAACATATTAAATTGAATTTGTTTGAGCTTGAATCACAGTTTAAAAAAGATAAGAGAAGTGACCATCTTGAGCCATATTAAGCTTCAATAGGTATTCAGCAATTTTAATATGTGAATCAAATTAATGCCTTAATATCGTTGATGAATTTACTTCCATAGTATTCTTTTGGAAAATGTGGTCAGTTGTGTCCTATGACTTATTGTGCATAAATATTGCTGATAACTATAGATATGTAATGTAACCTTTCATGATGATGTCAACATTAATGGAGCCTTCAGCATGTAAAATTAATTAACAGTGGCCATATTTTGACTACTTGATGTATATTAGAGAGAATTTAATTATAAATATCTTGTTATGTACAGAGTTTTGTTGTTTAAATTGATTATTTCTGTATGTCATACAATCACATATAACATTATGAATAGTAAAATCAGCATGATTGGTAATATGTATCCAGATACATACAAGATGAGATTTGAATGTGTACATTGTAATACAACATTTTATTTCTTCTGAATTTTGATTCATATTACACCAAAAGAAAATGTGAAGTTGTATTGCAGTGTTGTTATTTGATGTCCAGAAACAATAGATTAGCTGGGGCAATTAGCTACACAAGAGCCTTGAGCTTATATCAATATATGTATTTGGATAATTAAACCTACCCAGTCGACGTTTCATACATGATGCCAAATGCCATGTGCAATTTTCAACTATAATCATGATGTTGTATGTTTTTGTTACAGTCAGAAAATTGAGTGTTTGTAAAGATAATTTGCCCAGATGTATTAAAGTCATCTGAAATAGTCTAGTCCTTTTCTATTAGTTTTGCCAAATCTCCATTTGGTGCCATATGAATCAGTATCATTGATTCTGGATATTCTGTAGCAAAGTCCGAAGATCTCATTCTTTCCAAAGTAATATGGTCTGCTACTAAATGTTAGAGAAAAGAGCAAAAAATTGGCTTTTCTGTAAACTGTCTATTTTCTTCTACTTGATTTCTGTCGTGGTTCGATATTCACAAGTCGAAATTCGAAAGTTGTATACAGTTTTGTGGAAGCACGTGACCTAAGATTTGTTATGTGCTCCTCGCTTCTAGTCGTTCAAATCTTATACTAAGATTTGTTGTAATTATCTCCCTTCAGTATACGTAGCAACATGTAAACAATATGGCCGACAGCTTGTAAAATTTCGGTAAGTTTTCATTCATGGACAGTGATTGAAATAAAATTTATCAATATAATCTGTTGTAAGCACATATTAAATACCGTAACCTGTTTGAAAAAACTAGAAAGGGACTTCTCGTTGGCTTAGACGTAGATGGTAGTGGTCCACTTGCACTGTATGATGGTAGTGCCGTAGTGGTAGGCTTACTACTAAAAGCTTACTAGTACTTGTAGATCTACTCTCAGCCACAGTGAGTTTTTTTCTATCATTTCACAAATATTCACAATAAAATTTCGGTTGCAAACCAATGTGTGATGTAGCTTGAGAAGCGTATGTAGAGTAGCTTGAGATGGAGTCAAGTTGCATAGTCTGCAAACTTTGTACCCATTTGGTCTTTATTTTAATAAGTATTTGGCTCTGTGGACATACTTTAATAATTTTAACAGTGTTAAATTGTGGCTGAATAGTAAAACCATTGTTGTGTGAAAATCTGAGATAAACCTGGACCAGATCTATTTAAAAAATTAAATAAATTGGATCAAATTTCTTATGAACAGGTCTGGATTGGTAGCCTAACAGTAACCTTTGTAAAAACTTTGTAAAGACATAATTATAACCAAATATTGGATCAGATCTGTAAGCCTACCCCTTAATATATTTCACATAGGTAATATTGTTAATTTGATATCTCACCTGTGTACACAATAATGATCTTTCTTTTAGTATTTGATTTTATTTTTCATAATTCAGGTTTTATAAAACATTTAACAACTCAGCATACATCTCAGAAAGTGCACATAATTAATATTGTGTATATATTAAGAACTTAAAGAAGTAAGCTTATATGGGAAAGAAGATTAAGAATGTTAAAGGGTTATGCCTGCAGTTGGTTTTTTGATGTACTGTACATTAATATGTAATAAAAACTTCTGACTGAAATTGTAACAGGAGAATTAGTACCGTATGGAAGGAGTCAGTGCACCTCTGCATTTCCCATGTGCAGCTCATGTAAAGATGCCACAAATAGGATCAGATGAATCTGACATTACTGTTGTCAAGTCAAATGTACTTCATCATAATTCAATGTCCAGTATTCAGAGATCTCAGTATTCAGACATGGGAGAGAAGCAAGTTCTTTTACGTCCTTTTGGGAAGACATACATTAAAGATATTTGTGGAGATTTATCATTTACTGAAGATGTAGTTCGTGATCGATGTTTTCATATGTTACCATACAGTGATAAATACTTTTATGAGGCATTAGATGTCAGTAGTTTAATTCCAAAACAACCCAAGAGAAACATACTTATAGGCCGTCATAACACAAGTGGAAGTGATAAAAGGCACATGCCATGTATACCAACTAAGACTCAGTATCTAAAACCGTTGAGGAAGAAAATAAGTGATAAGGCTTTAGAAATGCATCAAGAAGCTGTAGAGAAACAACGTTCTGAAAGTCAAGCTTCATTGAACACTCTAGATAGTCAGGATGATCCTGTGTTTTTAACAGAAGTAGATGATAAACAATCAAAGTCAACCAAACTGCCAAAAATAAACAAAGATAAACATGTAGAATTGAGCCATGAGGCAGAAGAAGGAAATGAAAAGAAGCATGACTGGGATGCTTATTTAATGTCTATTATAAGTCCATTAACAGCTAATTGGATTGTACATCAGAAGATGACAGGTGTTGGTGGGGTAACTAGTGAGAAAGAAGAATTAAGTAAATTATTAGAAGGTTGGTATGGTAAACCAGAACATACTGATTTAATACGTGATGACATCAGTGACACTGATCCAGTAACAACACCAACTGCAGAAAAACATAAAAAGAAAGTTTGGAAAAAAGAAGAATCTATGTGAGTGTACTTTGTTGAGTAAAACCTTAACAAAATTATATAATTCTGAATCAAGTGATTATTATAAACTTCAAAATATTTTTAGATTATTAACCAAGACAATCCCCAAACTTGATGTTTTTTTTTAAGTCAACATTGAGATTTGTGTTTTAAAAAGTTAAACCAATTAAAACATGAAATTTTCAGATTGTTAGAAAAAGTATTACAGAATAATGAGGAAGAACCAAAAGCAAGAGATCCATACTCAGATAATAATGAGGCTCCATTTTATCGACAACCTGTTGGTTTTCGCAAACAGAAAAAGAAAATAGAGAAAGAAGAACTGGGTGAGATTATAGATTATGATGCTACTGATATTAGATTTATTCACCAGGGGACTCACAAAACAGTTGCCTTACATAATGGATTTATAAGAAAAGAGTTCAAATGTTCAATAACATTCAAAGAATTTTTGGACAAAGACTATAAGAAGGGATATTACTGCTCTTACAGTTTTAACAACAATGCACAATTGAAAACCCCATAAAACTTAGCATTTATTTCTGAACCTGAAATAGGCCTAGATACAGTATGATTGAAGTCTGAAGAGAAAAGTTCTTACATGATATATTTATTGTAGGAGCCATTAACAGTACAGCACGAGATATTGAAGTTAAAACCTACAAACCACCCCCACCTCCTACATTACGTGATTATTTTAATCCTAAAGCTGGAGAAACACTTATACAAACTGATAATGTCTTCGAACGAGAATGGTTAACAGGTTGGTTATTAGTTTTTTATGTCTTTTTTGTGATTTGAACGATTGTAACTTTCAGCTTAATAAAAGTGAACAATTACTGAGAAATTGGTTTCTGGAACTTGAAGGGACCGGCGCAGCATTTTGGGAGGTTGAATTTAGTCTTGAATTTATGTAAAAAGTTTTCGAAAGTACTAGAAATGTACGAAAATTGCATAATTCCATTGAAAATACTTCAAACTAGGAATTTTACTCATCATTTCTATATATGTCTTTTCCATATATCACAGAGTATCTTAAAATGACAGTCGTCATTTTAACATTCAAATGCAGATAATTCTGAGATAATTCTGAGCACACATAGATTTGAAGGCTCAAAACACTGTGAACACTATAGCTGATTGGCTTAGCTTAAAAATGCCCATTTCTGAGACTAAATTATATTCCGTCCGTTCACAATTGCTCGTAAACACTCTACAAGGCACAATTCTTGACTGATTTTGACAAAACTTGGTATAAGTGTTCGTAATCACCCAAGGATGAACCTTATTGAAAATCAGAAGAATCGAAAAATATTTAGTATATATGTTATTGCCCTTGTTCTTGAAAACACCTTCAATTTTTAGCTCGTAAACACTCTAGAAGGCACAATTCTTGATAGATTTTGATGAAACTTGGCATGAGTGTTTGTTATCAACCAAGGTTAAACCCTATTGAAAATCAGAAGAATTGAAAAATATTTAGTATGAGTTACTGCTCTTGAAAACGCTTTCAAATTTAGCTCTTAAAAACTAAAAGTCATGATTCTTGCTGGATTTTGACAAAACTTGGTTCAGTCCCGCGCTGAAGATTGAATATTTGCCTTCTAAAGTTTTCACGAGCTAAAAATTGAACACGGCAATAACTCATACTCAATATTATTCAGTATTGCTCTAAAGAGTTCAAAAGAAGTGTATGACTGAAGGTTGAATATTTCATACTGGTGTTACTGTATTGCTAAATATTTTTATTCAAAATCAAAGCTGCCAGTGGTTGTATATTACCTTGCCTGGCAAACTATCTTACAATTTAAAATTGTAGGTAATGAACAAGTCTATCAAGGAGAAAGTGATAGTCAACAAATAGTAATGGCAAATCAAAATAAATATATAAAACAACTGCAAATAGCCTACCCTGATGTTGAAAAATGGTGTCCGAGGAATGAGGAGAATCAAGAAGATACAGAGCAGTTTATTATACCTAGTAAAGGGGCCAGAAGATGGAAATCTTTACCTAAACCTGTTGATGTAAGCCATGTTATTTGATTTCTGTTTTGGATTTATAAAGTTACTTAAACTTCTAAAACCCTTGACACTGAATGAGCTAGAAATTTGTATGAATATTTTATATAATTTAGGAGAGTAAATTAAAATCATGAAAAACAGGTAAAATATTTTGTGTACACTTTTGGATCAATGATCATGATAGCTTAAGATTTGGGAGGCCCTTATTTCTCTATATGATGCAGATCAGGAATATGATAATTGTATCCCATAGTTTTTATCATTATAAGATTTGATTTTTTGGGAATTAATACTAAAATGGTTGCTTTCAATTTCATTACTACAGGATACGAGAGATGTACTGAAATGTTTACCTCCAGGAACTGAACCAGTGCCTGTCATACCATCTGATGCTAAAACTAAAAAAGTCAAGCAACAAAATCCAGCCTTATCACAAATAAGTAAGATGACTTGCTATCTAGTTCTGTGGATTAATATATGCATTCTACAGACCAGATGTAAGAAAGTAATATCATCTAGCTGTGAAACCAATGTTTAGATTTCACTTCATTAGAAATTTAAAAGCTTTATTAAAGACCACAGGAGAGCAAAATCTGATAAAACATTTCACTCAGAGAGAAAAAATAGGCTGTGATTATGATAAACCAAATTGAAAAGTATTGTGAATTAATTATAATGATTTTTATTTTAATTATTAAAGTTGATGAATGGAGAAGTAAATGGCAACTAAGTGGACAATTTGCTGATAGTAATCCTCATGATTTATTAAGAGACATGGCAGATATACAACCTCATGTTCGTTTGAAAGCCATAGCAACTGTTGCAAAGTCAACAGAGTATAAAGCACCAGAAGAAGATGGAATACTGTTAGAATATCAAGATCAACAAATAGACGCTGTCAGTCGTCTGCCTGAGTTTTTATTTGATGCCTTGAATTGTTTGTTGGAAGATAAACATGAACAAGTAAAGAAAGCTGCAGCTGTTACCTTATATACTCTTAATAAACCTTCTGATAAAGTGAGTATCACCTTAAATACTTAGTATGATTGTTTCTACTCACCCAAAGATGAACCCTATTAAAAATAAGAAAAAATCCCTTCTTCTTGAATGCTCGTTAACACTCTAGAAGGCACAATTCTCAATGGATTTTGATGAGACTTGGTGTGAGTGTTTGTAATCACCCAAGGATAAACCCTATAGAAAAATTAAAAAATATTAAGTATGAGTTATTGCCCTTGTTCATGAAAACATGTTCAACTTTTAGCTCGTAAACACTCTAGAAGGCACAATTCTTAAAAGATATTGACGAAACTTTGTGTTTTTTTGTAATCACCCTAGGATAAACCCTATTGAAAAGCAGAATAATTGAAAAATAATTAATATGTGTTATTGCCCATGTTCAATTTTCAGCTTGTAAACACTCAGAAGGCACAATTCTTGAAAGATTTTGATGAAAATTAGTGTTTGTTTGTAATCACCCTAGGATAAACCCTATTGAAAAGCAGAAAAATTGAAAAATATTTAATATGAGTTATTGCCCATGTTCAACTTTAAGCTTGTAAACACTCTAGAAGGCACAATTCTTGAAAGATATTGACGAAACTTAGTGTTCGTTTGTAATCACCCTAGGATAAACCCTATCGAAAGGCAGAAAAATTGAAAAATATTTAATATGTGTTATTGCCCATGTTCAATTTTCAGCTTGTAAACACTCTAGAAGGCACAATTCTTGAAAGATTTTGACATAATATCTTGATAATGATATCTTTAAGTATTACCCCAAAAGTTTTTAAAAAAAGTGTATGACTGTTACTGTACTGCGAAATATTTTTGTTTGGAATCAAAGCTGCAATTGGGCGTATATTACCTAGCCTGGCAAGCTATCTTTTATATTTCCTAGTTAAGAGAGGATCACATTACATGCTCTCAATAAACAAGTGAATATTACATTACATAATCTGAGCAAACTTTTTCATACTGTACACATTACACCTAAATTAGATTAACATATATTCAATTATGATTACAGGCAGAAGCGGTTTTACGTGAATTGTTATTAAGTGAAAGTCCAAGTGATAGGTGGACAGCTGCTCAATGTTTGGCTCATTTTGGTGTTTGCGATTCAGATGTTGCTGGTGAAGTTATCACACAACTGTTAGCTACTGAAGATTCTATTAAACATGAACAATGTAAACAACTTTTAGCTAAAATGAGCGCTAGCACTGTAAGAAGAAAATTTATATCTTTCAGCTTGCATGCTTTGAAGTAAATTCTGCTCAATGCAAAAGATAAGATGTTTTGGCATATTCTGTTATTGTTCAGGATTTACCATCATTTTATCATAAACACTTCCTAAAATGTGCTTTGTTTGTTTGTTTAAAACAGAGGTATATGTTCATAATGTTACATAAATACACACCAATCTAATTCTGAAAGTAACAATTATCCATGCAATGAATTTCTGAAACGTTTTTCTATTGAAGACTCTGATTCATTCAATGGTGGCAGAACAGTTAAACAGTAGTAGTTGGAGACATAGAGTTATAGCCTGTAAAATATTTCCTGCTCTGGATGGTACTATAAACAAGGTATTGAATTAAATTATTGTCAAAGGTATAGCTACATCATATAATCATTACTATGTTTTTGACAATGTTTCTAACAATGACGGTTGTAAGTTTATCTTGTATTTTGGTTTTGAATTTGTAAATTTGTTTTTCATTTTTAGGATATAGCAAATAAATTAGCACATCTAATGTGGAAAGACTGGCATGTGGAGGTGCGTAAAGTTGCAGCTCAAACTCTAGGTAAAACTGGTCATGGTAGAAGTGTACATGATGATCTTAAAGAAAAAATACAAGGTTCTGATGAAAGATTAAAACAAGAAGCTATTAGTAGGATTGGTCATCTAGGTAAGAAATTGTGAACTATCTGTTCACTCAGTTTAAAGCACTCAATTGTTTATTTCAAACTAAAAAATATTACAGATGGCATAACCCAAAGGGTAAAAACTTTCTGATAAATATGACAGCGAATACCTGTGTAATGTTAATTTGTAAACCTTAATCTTGTAGGTATTATGACAGCTAAATTGTTGCCAGTTATATTAGATTGTTTTGATGATGAATATAATTCAGTTAGAATGGAAGTTTGTATAACATGTGGTAATCTAATGATTCAAGATCAACAAGTTATTGATAAACTATTATACCTAGCAACATTTGATACAGTGTGGAAGGTGAAAGCTTTAGCAATGCAAGGTATATTAAAAGGATTATATTTTACATAAAGAAGTATGAAAGTTAGACATTATGCATTATCCATATGTATAATATCCACAGTTGCTAAAGGAACATGAGCATTATGAGACCAAACAATTTACACGGAAAGCCTTTCATACCAGATGGTAAAAAATCACCCACAACTGATTGATTCTAGTATTAAGACTAGATAGATCATAGTTTTTCAAAGATAGATTGACATCATTTTTATACACCCACATGAAATGTGGAGCGTATAGTGCCATCACCCATGTCCGTCGGTCCACAATTGCTCGTAAACACTCTACAAGTCACAATTCTTTATGGATTTTGACGAAGCTTGCTGAAATCGTTTATTATTCAGTCCCGCGCTGCAGATTGAATATTTGCCTTCTAGAGTTTTCAAGAACAAGAGCAATAACTCATACTCAATATTATTCAGTATCGCTCTAAAGAGTTAAAGAAGTGTATGACTGAAGGTTGAATATTTCATACTGGTGATTGTTACTGTATTGCTAAATATGTTTATTCAAAATCAAAGCTGCCAGTGGTTGTATATTACCTTGCCTGGCAAGCTATCTTTAAATATCACAGGATATATAAATTGACATTTTCAAACATTTTATATGATTTTATTAGCTTTAGGTAAAATTGGAGTATCAAGTCCAGCTATTAAAGAATGCTTAACTTGGGCATTAAGATATGAGAAAGAAGGTGGAGTTCGAGCTGAGGCTTGTCATACTTTAACAACATTAGAATATACAGGGGATGACTTTATAGAAATACTTCAAGAGAGATTATTGGTTGAGGAAGAAGCAATAGTCAGGAAGTAAGGGTTCCAATGTTACATTTTATTACTTTCAGCATTTTCTAACTGTATTTTCAGCTTAGAAGACAAGAAAATCCACATCTTTTGTGTTTTTAATGTCCCAAGATTTCTAAAGTTTGTAAATTAGCTTTAAATGCAAAGTAACTACTATATTGTAAATTTCAACAACTAGCTTTACATATCTATGCTATTTTTTCAGTGAAATTAGTAAAGCATTAAACTTGTTAGGAATTAGTAGTAGTGATGATATTGATACTGTAGCACAAATAAAGTGTGAAGTAAGAAAGCTATGTGATCAAGGTACCATAGCATCAATGATTTTATCTAATGATAAAAATGAAGAAAAACAGAGAAATATGTCTAGAATGATTTATCAAGCCAAACAAGAAATACAGGTTAGTGTAATTTATTATTACTGTAACAAATTTTATTAAAGGGGCTTTTGATGTTTCTTACTAACAGCAAGGCAATTAATTTTTCTATGCTATCTTACCATGATTACTGCTCTCTGACTGAATTTAATTTTTTTTTCTCATTTCATAAATATTCAAAATAGAATTTTCAACTGTATACCGTTTGTATTAAAATGTTTTCGGGTAGAAATATAAGGTTCAGGTTCAGTGATTTTACATTATCCCTCCCAGAAAATGCTCTACTCTACTGAAAATTCCCCATTGTAAAATCATGTTTACAAATAATAACTTTTCCAGTGGTTGACATTTTCATCAACTCAAAAACATCCTTCAGTAGTATTTTGTTATTGATATTCAATTTAGAAGAAAATGATAGCCAAAATTCAAAAAGTAAGCAATGAAGTCAGAGAGTAGAATTAATATGCACATTTTCATAATAATTATCAATAGAATTATTTGATATTCACATTTTAATCATAAATGACAGAATTTAACACAGGGTAACATGATGATAAATTGCTTCTTAAGTTTTAACAATTTGCACCTTTATATTACACATACATTGCTATTTCTTATAAATTAGTATCTAATTAACAACTCACCATTTCTTTTCACTATCTAGAAACTTTTCTCACGTACTAACACCTATTTAAGAATGAATTCTAAATCAGAAATAGATGGAAATTTAGAGCTGTACGCTTTGAAACAGGTATATATACATTTGAGTTCAGATTATAAATCTTTTGATTTCATATTGTAAGTTGTATTTTGCACTACTCAGAGGTACCAATATTTGCTGTATCTTATGGACTACTCGTGATAAGATTATTTCCACAACTGTTCATCAATACAGAAACCTTTGTTTTGTTTTTTATTATTTATAAATTATTTGTCTCTTGTTTTGTTATAGGAAGAGGATGAAGTTTTTAAAGGACAGAAAACGCTTGGATCTCCCAGAAGTGTTAGAATTAACACTGATCACCAGAGTCAGCAAGAATCCAGATTAACTCTTTTAATGGATAAAGAAGTTCATAGTATTATTTACCAAACTATAGTTGAAACTTCTTCACCAGATTCAGGAACAAGAGCATCAAGTGTATCAACGGATATTTATGGTATGGAAGAAGTATCAGATTCTAGTAGTCCCAGACCTTTAACTTCAATATCTACAAGATCAAAGTCACATATGGGTAGAATAACTGAAGAGAATGAAGATGATTCCAAGCTAGATTTTAATGAAACAAAATCTGAAATCGACCTAAAGTCTGAATTTGACATGGAATCCCAATCAGATGAAAGTATTGATGATAAATCAAAACATACTACAGAAATTGGTCTTGAAGATATAACAGATGATATTCCGTCATCAAGGATAGATCATGGTCATAAGTCACCATATGCTCAGTCATTTGGTGATTTGGGATCATCAGCTTTAAGTCTTGGAGGATCTGCTCGGAGAAGACAAATAATGAGTCGAGAGACTATACGAGAAAAAGAAAGGATCAATGCAGAAGCTCGTAAGAGTTTAATGAGTTTAAATGTAAGATATTCCTCCATGATGGAAGGTTTAAAAACTCTTGATGAAGGATTTTCAGCCGATAAATGTAAAAATATCCCAGCGGAAACGGAGAAGATCATATCCAATATTTCTATTTAAAACTACATGTATACTTTATGCGCTGATTATGCAAAGATTTTTAAAAAAATATAATTTCATTTCAAATGTTTCCTGTGATCTAACATTTGCCATTATATAGTATAGTATCCTACCCACTGGTGTTTTTAGGAATTTTCAGATATAGGGCCCTGAGTAGGGGCCACTGAATTGTCTTGGAGGGCCAACAGACAATTCTTTCCTGATGTAATATAGTAAGAAATTTGGGAGAACAAGAATTGTACTTCATGTGCTCAAATATCTTCACTAGACTATATATCCACATTATAATGCTGGACATAATAATCATGGACATTACTACCGGTGTCTGAATATTGACTAAAAGACACAGACCAACAACATTTATGGCTTATTTTTGTTTCTGGAACAGAAATTAAAAAAAAAAGACAACCTGTCATAGTTTTACTGTAATCTCTGAATATACAAAAACTTGATTTTAAAAACTATATAAAATAAAAGTAGGTATAAAAAAAATTCTCAGAACTAAAAAATAGTATATTTGGTTTGAATTTATAAGTAAGTTAAATAAACTAAGAGTATAAATGATATTGATAATAACTATCAAAATTGTTTCTTTGTTCACCTTACTGAGTCCGAATTAACTATGAAATATAAAGATAAAATATAAAATAAGCACTTAACTGTATAGTAATGCAATATGAGGATTAAAATAGTAATTAAATTTTTCATCTTTATCTCAAATGTATTAATTACAAATTTAATTTAGTTTCTGTATATTTTCAAAATCTGTTTATAATTTATCAAAAAATATTTAAGATTTAAATTTTTTGTTATTTATTTTGTTTCTTGGGGGTATATAAGGTAGTTTTAAGTTATACAAGCTAAGCCCACAGTGTTTATTAAAACTTAAACTTTTTAAAACAAAAGGGAACTGCTCATGCCTGTGTTCTTGAGCGATGAGCAATTACACAGTAAGGGTACATACAACACTTAAAAGCAAATCCTGTGATACTGTATTGATTAGATGTGAAGCATGATAACTGAGTAGGCCTATTGCATTGATAAATATACATAAAATATAATGCAGTGAAACAGTTCTTAAAAATTCAAACTCATCCAAGATTTCAAGTACTTGATCTATAGCTTCTCAAAAATGTGATGCAGAAAATAGGAAGTAAAACTCCATTCATTTCATTTCCAAAAAGCAATAGTTCTGAATATATCTGAATGATGCAGATTGAGGGATGGGTATAACAGAGAGTAATATATATTAATCTAATTAAAGCATACTAAAAACTCTATTTACACTATTAATAAAATATAAGGTCAATAATTAAAACAAACTGCCATTAATACAGAATAACTATACAATGTTGCCCTGAACTTTTAAGAAAAATAATAAAATTCAGACAAAAATAAAATATTGCACCATTATCATTAAAATTTACAATTCCCATAAAAGGTTTTTGGCTTATTAAAATTAAATATACAATTTAGGTTCTTGATGAACCCTGTTTGAGTAATCTCATTAAAATGGATAATTCACTAAAGCACTGACCAAGAAAATTTAAATGACACAAACTAAAAAGGACAAATGGATTTTATCAAATACTATAAGATTCACAAATTTCACAGTCAATTTTTTTGGCAAGCTATCTCAAAATGCACTAATGATATCAACTACAAAAACAAATATATTCAACATAAAGTACAAACATATGAACAATTCAATAGGTTTTATACCACAAATATATAATGAATTGATTTTTGATTAAGTATGCTGCATAAAAATGACATAAAATAAAAATATTGAAGGGAGTTTCAGGTCTAATGATATTTTTGAGAACTGTAAAATTGATATTGAGTCAAATGTAACATATAAAGTGGTTGTATTAAAATATTTCTGTTATTGAAATTGATAGCAATGTTTACTTTATGTTTTGATTTAAGTTTCACACACTTGTTTCTTTATTAGCGAAGTCAGAACTGTTCTGTTTTTGAGGAATCCAGATATCATAAGCACTTTGATCATCGTCTGAACTGGTTGTAGAATCTTCTACCATATTTTCACTACCAAATCCTGATTGACACAATTTATCATATTCACTCATAGATCTGGGCAGCCAAAAAGCTTTTTTTGCTAATTCATCACTTTCACTTGCTTGTTTAATTAGTTTACGTAAAACTCTGTCTCTGTAATTGTGATTAACGTAAGCATAAGAATACATTTTTACTGGTCTGTTTTTAAACTCATTGTCCCAACCTAAAGATTTCTGTTTCCTCATTCCTTGTAATTTATGTGAATTTCGTTTTTCACGAGAAGAACGATGACGTTTTCTATGAGTAGGATCTGAATGATGATCTGTCTCTGTAGGTCGTACAGGTGTTTCTTGTTCACGCACTTGACTCTGAGAATCTGAATCAGGAGGTGATAGATAATGAACATCAACATTTCTACCTTGCATTGAATCAGACATAGCAGGACTTTGACAAACAGTATTACGACATCCTACTGGAGTCTCTCGTGCAAAATTTACTCTTCCACGACTATTTCTACTTCGTCTACTACTAGCATCTGAACTATATTCTCCTGATATTGGTCTGGTTTGAGAACTTTGACGATAATGGTGTGGACTAGTACGTAAATTATGAGGACTGGGAATCATTGTGCTAGGTACAGGACTATTGGCTTGAACAGGATAATGGTTTGGATGAGGATATTGTGGACCGGGCACAGCATAGTGCTGGCCTTGTATGGCATAGAGCTGGCCTTGATTAGGATGTGGTGCAGCTTGGTTAGGGTGTAGTGCACCGTGAATAGGAAAATGCTGACTTGGTTTTGGATACTGTTGTGTATAATGTAGTCCAGGATATTTATGTGGTATGATGTATGGTCCACTATTTGTTGGTTGTGGTGATTTTCTAAGGTCCTGTTGCCCAGACCCACAGGCTTGGCCCTGTCCATCAAACTCGGGAGGCTGTAGGGTAGAAACATCTGGATTCAAGTAATTAGTATTGTTAGAATTTGATGACTGCTTTTGAGGAGATGTATCGCCTTTACTAGGTCTAGGTAATGTGTTGTTACGAGGCTGAACTGATGTAAAAGCACTAGGACGTGATCCAACAGAACATGAACTATTAGAACGCTGATGTTGAGGTAGAATATTTGATGAAATAAAACTGACTGGACTAACCGCACTGTATTCTGAGTTACCGCCAGGTTTTATATGATTCTTATCATTTTGAACATGTCCCTTAATAAACTGATTTGGTGTCATTATATTAGGCTGACAGTTAGGAGGTGTCATATTTTGTCCATAAACTCCACCATTAGCCTGATTTATCTGTATATCAATACTCAGTTGAGTATTGGCATCACTACCATGACTATAGTGACGACTTAGTTCATCTGAAACACTACTACAATTCACATCACGATTAGCATCTTTATTCATCACTTTACCTTGTTTATGTTTATTTTTATCCCAAAATTTCTTAGCAGCCCCATTCTGTCGAGGGTTGTAAAAATGAGGGTAATTTTCAGCACTATTTACAGATACTTCTGTCACTGAGGAATTAGTTTGAGGGACTAGATTGATATTTGATTGTTTATTAGTTGAATTTTGATTTAATTTCATGCTGTTAGCTTTTTCGATGTTAGTTGATTTCTGAGAATGAGTTGATAAATTCATGTTACTGGATGATTTAACAATGTCACCATTTAAATGAGGTGACGGAGGAGGTTCTGTTTCTATTGTACCAGAATATAACTCTGGTGTTGAACATCCAAAGAATTTCTTCCAACTCAAGCGAGAGTCTTGTCTTGAGAAACAGAAATAAACAACCATAAATACTCCAAGAATTGTACTTGTTACACCATATAAATAACTGAAGATTAATTCTTGATAAGGGATAATAGATTGAAATGGTTTAGCTATGGCAACAGCACCACACACCCAAGCTAATATATATAGAAATAACATGGCAACTATGGCACGTAGTTGAGTTATAGGTCTACGTTCCTGGTCCATAACACTAATTGATGATTTATTATCATCATCTTCATCATCATCTTCACTATCTTTGATCTTTTCTCTTTCCCTTGATCGTCGTCGTGGAGTTAATGCTTGAATTTCTGTATCAGGTTGACTAGGTATGAGTTCTATTTCATTAACATGTAACTCTTCTGTACAATCTTCACCATCACTATTATTAATAGCTGCTCCTCGAATAACACACGATATACGTAGAAAAAATAGTAAATTTAGCACAACCAGTAAAGCTATGGGTCCATAGAAGGCTCCTAAACTTGGTTCCCAAGAGAGGAAACAACTGAAAAATATAAGAGCAAGACATTCAGTTTTCACATTGCATGTTTCAGATTAAATGAAATAAACTATTGGGGTAAAAAGCTTGGATATAGAGATAAAATATACACAATGAAGAATAAGGATGTAATAACTGATTAAATACCACTATAGTATTTAAAGACTAATACAGTACTTACAGACTAGTACATGAGGGTTTCTCATTAATCTTATAAAGAAAGTAACACTTACTATTTGATACCAGAATAATGGTTAAAATTAACAGCTGCAGTAATACCACAAATTATAATAGGTACACCCCAACCAAGAAAATAAAATCGTAAAATAGGTTTGGGTGGTAGGGGCATATTAATTAACTCTGGTGGTGGCTCACTTGGTTTATCTCCTTTGGTGAACTTTTTATACATATTGCTGAAAAAAAAACACAATTATTTTTTACATTCTGTGGGCATCTCTAGATTATAAATTACTGCCTATCAATATACTGACTGCCTCAGTACAAGAATGCTGAATAGATTCAGACATTAGTCAGACAAATTCAAGCATAATTTTTACCACCATGATTTTTTGCAACAATAATTGAAATCTAAATTCCATGAAATAATGATTCTGTGGCCTTACTTATTCCAAACAATAATTTCATATCAATAAAATACATGTACAATTTAAGAGTGAATATAGAACAAGATATATTATAAAAGACTATGCTTACTTGGAGGTAATAGTAATCCAAAAGACTGTACATAATGTCAAATAATGAATACAGATACCAGAGATTTGACAAGCTAATTCTAGGTCGGTACGGTTTATACCTAATGTGAAAGCTACTATCAATAAATGAATACTAATACAAATATTAATAACGGAGTGTTTTAATTTCTTTGGTATAAAGATGACTCTGAAAAATAAAAAATACATCAAATTTTCCATTGTGAAAATTAAATTTAATAAAATTAAGTTTATGCCATGTCAAATTGATTGTTAAAACAAGAATAATTAAGCCGTAAAATCAGCAATGATACCCAATCCTAAACCTTGTATTATACTAATGAAGATAAGCAACAAGGGAAATTTTGCCAGGACAGCAGCATTAACCTGCTCTTTTTTCGATTTCCAACTGTTGAGGAATCTTTAATGTGCACAGCCACACGGGGCCTCGGTTTATTGTCCCATCCGAACGACTAGACACTTTATACATGTAAGCCCTCCTACCTGCATCATTGACAGAGGGAAATCGGGTTGAAAAATTGAAGATATTTATCTGACCTATGCCGGGATTGAACCCTGGACCTTCAGGTTAGCGAGCAAACATCTTAACTAACTGAGCCACAGTGGCTCACGATCAAACAGTGGACCTACATTATTACCCAATATACATGTACAATATAAATACCTAAAACATGTTATGTATGATATAATAACAATCATCATACATAGCATACATAAACAGCTCCCAACATAAATAACTGGCTGCATAACAAATGATTCTCTTATTATATAGTCTGTATCATCCTATAATATATAATTAAATCACATAAATCAGCATCTGTATAGTCAAAACCTATCACTTGACTTGGATGTCATTAACAATAAAAGCTATAAAAATGTTTTGTCAAGGCATTTCCCAGATATTTACACTTAATAAAAAAAGCCTCTACTAATTCAGCTATTTATTTATGGTAATTCAAGTAAGTTTGGTACATTACATATTCTATCTTCATGCAACTCTTAATATTGTGACATATGCCAGTCTCAGGTTTTATGTTTTCACAACTGAAATGAAATAGTATTGAAATAAAAGTAAGGAATAATTACCTGTAGTAAAGTAAATGTAGCTAGATGATAACAATATACAGTAGTTAAATTACTAGTAGTTGATATAATTTCACAACCATCACTTCTCCAATTACCTAATCCACCTGTAAATATATATAATACATCATGTCACTGTTTTATTATATCTAGTGGAAAAATTATATTTTTCTGTTAACCCCAGCCGCTGATTTTTAAAGATGGGTTCCCTTATTTCCATTTATTAAAATGAAAATACTAATACTTATATGAATAGATAGTAGAGGTGTTCTGACGACTTGGAAAAATACCTGTTTGTCTCACATGTCTATAATTAATTCATAATTAGCTACATTAGAAGAGAATTACCAGCAGAGTAACCGATCAAGAAAGATCGAAAAGTCTTTTTTAGTTTATCCAGACTGTACATAAATGGACATTTATTATTTTTTTAAATTATATGAATAAGGAAATAATGATATGATTAAGAATAAAGATAATTCATTAGAAACACCAATTAATCAAATGGTTTGCTTAATTTGACAATAAAATACAAGGAAACCCATCTTTTTAAAGGAAAACCTTCACAAAATATATTATTCTCTTTAGGGGTTGTTCAAACTTTTTCCACTTCAAATGAGGAAGTAAAACTACTGAAATTTTGTGTTATATCTTATTGCCTGATTCACATAAATTCATCGTTTTGCTATTTTAACAACCATGCAACTTCATAACAATGACTTTAAATTTTCAATAAATCAAATGAATACTATTAATGACTTCCTCCAACTCTAAGACTTACCATTAGCATCAAAATCCCAATAAGCAGGTGCCAGTTGTTTTTCTGTTTTAGGAGTAACATAATATAATATAGCAGGTTCTGATAAGTTTAATACAGGATGTCCTGCAATAGATAATATTGGTAATATTTATTATTAAACTTTCACACTATCTATTTGGTGCTTGAATTGGGCACTTGTCAAAGTAGAAACTTGAGAGTGTTAATATTGACATTTAATATTTGTCATTACATTTTGAAATCTCCAACTTCAAGAGAAAAAAATTTACAACTTCCACAGCAGCTCAAGATAAAGATGAGATAAATATAAAAAAAAACTAACCAACAGATACAGTAACTACGTTAGAAACAACTGTCCATTTTCTATCAGTAAATATTGGGTCTGTAGGTTTAGTTGATGTAGGAGGAAATAGAGAACCATCATTATAAACTATAACTTGTATATCAGCATTCTCTTCATAATATAAACCAGCATCCAAAAATAATGTTGGTGGTAAAACTATTGAAAACTTAGTTCCCTAAATATATATATAGTTTAATTAATAAATTGTTTCCTTTTCTAATGCTAAGAGTTTTGTAGGCATGTTTTGTCTCTTCCTATAATACATGTATATCATCTGATCATTTATCAGAAGACAGTTCAAAATATAAATTGTAAACTGATTCTTTTTTTCACAACAGGTATAGCACAATTTAACAACAATCCAATGTCAGAGAAGAAATAGACAAAATGAGCTATTCTGCAGATTCTGAGTTGTCTTCTTGTATCAAAAAATAGTTAAAACCAGGGTATATAACATTTGAAGATACATAATAAAATGAGTTAAAATTACCTTTTTTGGAAGACCAGGAAGATTGGTTTCATTACTTAAACGTTCACAAGTAAAATGTTCATTTTCTGTTCTATTTATATTCAGTTTTTCTATCTTATCATGTACAGAGCACTGAATACGTGCTAAATCATCTCGAGGTTCTTGTAGTACTGAGATATTGATATTTTGAGAATATTTACTCCATTCTTTATTAGGTGGTTGAATTTCGGCCATATTGGTAATATTCATTATTACACGAACAAATCTAAAGATAAAGATAAATCTAAAGATCTTGGGATGTAATGAGATGAGATGAAGAACTATGTGATGTTTCTAAAATATTTGTTCATGAAAAATGACAACATGGTGATGACAAATGATAATGTGGAAGTATCGAGCTGGCGGAATGTTCAGTTTGATGTCTTACAGATCAGATAATGTTTTGTGTTCAGTCTAGTTATTCAGATCTTCGTTCACAAATATTACCGGTAGTCTGGAATACCGATCCTGAACAAAGCAGGATAACTATTTATTCTTTCTCACAAAGTAAAACTGTTATGGATATGTATGCAGAAGAATAAGATTCATTCACAGTTCTAAAACAATGAAATGCATACCTAGTTGATGCTTGTTCCTGTAATTGAGCACCACGTAATACTGAATCTTCTAATGTACTTATACTACTGATTTTATCAACTATAATCTGGGAAATCTAGAAGAATCAAGGACATGAGATATTTCACAGGAATTATTTTTGTGTAAAAAAAATGAACTGATACAATAACCTAGGCATAAATATTCTGGAAGCACATATCCATCAACATTATGTTCATAATCAAACTGTTCATACTGTTTTCATCCAAATTCAATGAACTTACTTCTGAGCTAACAGACAAATGGTCTTGTAATTTCTCAACTATTCGAGCTAGAAACACCACATCCATTACACCAAACTCATTTTTAGGAGATGAATAAATTCTCTCAAAATCAGCTAGATGATCATAAATATCTGTTGAGTTGTAGTTAACCTATAAAATATCAAAACAAACTTTTGTTACATTCTCTCATTAATCTAATCTAGAATTTTTGATATGTTATGACAATTCTTAGAATGCATGGCAACAATAAGATTATATGCTAGTGGTTTGGTACTTTTTTCACTAAGAATACTATCCAGAATAGGAGTAAGGAAATTGACAAATTACTTACAGTCGCTAGTCTTTCTAGTTGTCTGGTCATTTCATTCATATAGGAACATGACATAACATCTAATTCTTCCCAATAACCATAGCGATTACATTTATACAGAGCTACTTTATTCTTCGGTGATTTACATGGTTGACTTACTTCAATACCAGCAACAGTTTTCTCCCAAGAGTAATTCCCCTTTCCTGTCACCTTGACAACCTCTGGACAATAGACAGCCTGATTGGATATGACACTGATATTGACACCTTGTGACACTTTACCTTGTGGTGTAGCAACCTGACAATACCACTGTCCACTATGAGATTTGTCTAAATTTTCTACCACCAATGAATGTGTGATACGAGTTTTATCTGGGGTATATTGAGTATGGACAAATATTCCTGCTGTTTTGTTAGATATTATTGATTTCTGGCCACGTATCCATGTTATATTAGTTTTAGTATGTATTACTGATGCACTACATTCAAATGGTAATTTATCTCCTTCAAAAACAACCTGACTATGATGTGGTGTAATTTCAAAATATGGTAACTGTAAATCATGATCTGAAATCAAAATGATATCGTTAATTATTAACTCTAAACAATAAATACTCTTATATAATTAAAAACTTTCATTCTGAAGACTGATAATAAAACTTGTTCCTTTGAAGACAGAAATTGAAACCTGTTTGAAAAGATGAAATTGATTTGTAAATATGAATTATGGTAGCATCAGGGACAGTTTACAAGTTAACCTGTCACCAAACTAACAATAAATCAATATTAAAACATCATTAACTATAAAACTTTCAATTTACACAAATAACTTGCCAGACAAGGTATTATATGTCCTGAGAGTAGTGAAAATTAATCATTTTGTTCAAATGTGTTATTCAAGCATACAGATATGGTCATTAATACTCCAACTTGTCCAACCTCTCTGTATTTATTGCTTTTCTAAAAAGAATCAACTCACCACAATGTAAATCTGAGCGTTTTAGTTTATTAAAAACTTGTCCTTTCATAGCTTTAGGTAGAGCACAAACAGTAGATGGTGGAATTCGAACTGATTTACTCTTAGACCATTTTACCATCCATTTTAAATGACAATCACATCGTAGAAAATTTGAGCCAAATTCTCTGAAAAAAAAAAGACAATTTGAATACACAGTCATATGACAAAATATTCCAATCAGAAACATTGAGGTTTTTTTTTACAAATCAGACATTTTATAATCCAAGATTAGATGGTGAAGCTTGCAGAAAAAATCATTAAAAACTTACACTTTGCGTAATGAGATTAAATCATTAAATGTACCATCAGGTAAAGTGTTGATTCTGTTATTGTCTAAAGATCTGTGGACAAAAAACATCATACATCTAAGTAACACCAATATTCTTAAATAGGTATTCCAAAAGAAATAATAGAATCGCTAAGGCATCATTTGCATGGCAACCACAGAAAATTCAAAACTACAAATTTATGTAAGCATGGTGAATTTGAATAAGCCATGTTTTTTCATCATCCCATTTAGCTCAAGTGGTACAGTAGCAATTTCCCCAGCTTTCTCATAAACTGTTATATCAGTAGACAAAATGAATTACATTAATGAGTACATGAGCAATAAAATGGTTTTTGAAATTTGAATCAACTTTCATATTTCATTATTTACAAATAATCTTAACTTATCGATAGTTCACACATCCATTGTAATGTGATTTTCCTTCACAATAAACTATCTAAATCAAATGATTAACACTGCATGTTTTCAAGTATTCAACAATTTGTATTTAATTTAATGAGACTCAAGAGACTACAGACAAGACTAAAACTTATTGATCCTTTAAGACAGAAAACGTGAGCCAAGTTGTGAAAAGATGATTATATGTTTTCAGCCATGGAAAAGTTGTTTATTTTAATTACTGTATCCTTATTTCTAATCAATTTATGTTCAAAGGTAGTAGTTTTGTTCTGGAATCAAATCATTCACAATCAATTTCACCTTGTCTTTTATTACTCTTATAATTTAATCAACCATGACAAATTATCATCAATCCCCAAGGTAAAGAGTTTTTTCAAAGTGGTTTTGTGTCATGCTGAGACCATTAATTTAAATTCTTTTTAGCTTTGTTTTCTTTGAACTCATATTAAAAACCAAATTAGTATCTAAAGCTATAATAATAGCAACTTGTGGAAAACTAGATTAAAGATAGTGGACCACAGCCATATACGCCCACCACGGCATGCCGATGGTAAAAATGAAACATCCATTTTAAGTTTCATCAAAATCGGTTGAAAACTAAGAGAGTAATAGCATATTCAAGATTTGGGGGCAAGGGCAATAACTCTGCTTCTAACAGTCGAAAATAGCTCAAATTCGAACTTTATCTTCGTTTCATGAATATGTATGCACATACCGAATTTCATTTGATTTGAAAAATCGGTGAAAACTAACTCATAGTAATAACCTAATAGATATAAATAGAGCATGCCTAGATCAAATATCGTCAACTTTAAACTCATCCAAAATCTCAATCTCCCTTCACCTATTCACTTTCTATCATGTCATGCAAGTTGTATGATGTACTTACAATTTTTCTAACTTTGGCAATCCAAGAAACATGGCTGAATCAATTGTTCCAATTCTATTATATGATAGATCTCTATAAAATAAATAACATAGTATAAAATTATCTTCTATCATATTATATACAGAAAATAATCTTCATTCATTTAAAACAAATGTTCATTAGTTCATTTTATCAAATAATATCTCCTTTAAACAGATTGTAAAGAGGTTTTCTAGCTTTTTCATGTGTAACAGGGACATTCCATTTCTATGTTCGATGGATGTGGTTCCTGCAATTCCATAAATTCTTCTGAACTCTTTCTGGAATTGCAGGAGCCACAGGCACGAAGAGTTGGACAGTCCCAATTAGAAGTCAAAAGTGTCCCGATACACATAAAAAGGCTACAAAACCTCTTTACAATCTCATTAACACTTCTTCCCTCACTTTTTCTTAATTCCTACAAAATGCCTTTTAATATGTGTTATCAAATTTGATGTGTTTGTACTAACAAGGGCACTGACACAAACAATTTCTAGACTCAAATTCAGGGAGATCATCATTATATTTGTATACCAAGCTGAATCTAAAATTGATGAAAAAAAATGTAAAATCTATCGTGTCTACAAAAAATGTGTTCCCACATTTCCATGTGGGTTCATAAATCCTGTAGCCTCTATTGTGTCTACAAGCAAAATTGGATGTGTTTTACTAAGGGCAATAACTCAAAAAGACTGAGATCTCACCAATATATACAACAAGCATACATCTCACCAAGATTAGTCAAAAACTGCGGCTTCTATAGTGTACAAGAAATGTGGACTATCTTAGAGACAGACTGACAGAAAGATGGACAAAGGTGACTGCCATATGCATCCACAATTCCATGTGGACTTATAAAAATGTTCAGAAACATCATAAATAATTATCAATACCATGCTACATTTGATAATTTTTTCCAAGACTAATTTTGACAGGAAATAAGCTTAACCATCAATAGCAACCAGATAGACAGTGGTGTATTATCTATATATCTCAGGTATAGTTTCCTGCTATGAATGATAATAGGTAATTATTTATACCATTATTTAATACAGAATAGATATTAGAAAGGTAATAAAAGTTAAGTACTTATAAATAGGTATAATAAAATCAAAATGAGATTCCAACTGAATGATTTATCATAGAGGTATTTATCATCTAGAATATGATTTCTAACCTTTAATATAAATTAGTTTAGTATAGAGTTGGCAAATCTTATCATTAATAAAGATAAAACTCTACATTTTTATATATATACAGGTTTTAGTCTTTATTTCTACACTCATTAACAGTTTATCTTTAAATAAGAGAGTAATTTCTAGTTTGATGTGGCTAAGTTTAACTCAGTACAGACTTTTAAATTTTCTTTTAATCTTTCACAAATTACCACAGCTATAATCAATCATCACATGATAGAATAAGAATGTTTTGCTTTGTTTGACCTGAATACAGTAAGGCATCTGCTTCAATTTGCATATTAGCATCACAGTGTGAAATCAAATTAATATTTCCACCTCTACTTTTTCTACACCTTACAAGATTATTAAAGATAAGTAAGACATTAGAGTGTACAATGAGGGAAATTATATGTGGCAGCGGCTCATGGAAAAATAACTGGGAATTTTGTTTTAGGGAGATCCATGAAACAAGAAAAAAAAAATTGGTCTGGCCTATTGTTCAAAGGTTTGTATGTATAATGAGAAAGGATGAAGAATTCTAACTTAGTAAACTCAAGTATATGGTATATAAAATACATCTGTATGAAATTTGTAACTAAAAATATTTCAAATGAATCATATTAAGATCAAACAGGGTATTAGTTTCATATTTTTACTGTATTGATAATGATAACATCAGAATTTGCCCTTTTCTACTCTATTTTATATGCTTTACTACAGTCTTCTTTTGATTGGGGGGCATAGAAAATGATAGAAATTTTATTTAAGTATGAACTTCACAATAGGTTAGTACTGCTCAGAAACACATCTGTTGTTGTCCTATGATTAGATTTTTAATACTGCAAGGTTATACTAGTATTTCTATTATCAAGAAAAGAAACAAAAACATAGTAACATACTACACCAGATGTAGTTTTACTTACATTTTTCTCAGATTAATTAGTCCTTGAAATGCTCCCGGTTCTATAATAGAGATTCTGTTACTACTCAGATTCCTGAAACACAGTCATGTAACAATGCAATATTTCCAGCTAAAATAAACTAACACATTAAAATTTGAAAAAAAAATACCTAAACATTTAAAGGTCATTTCAAATTGATTTTTTGATCCGTAGGATTTTGGGCATAACCAAAGGTACAAGCATATTATAAATTTTCCATTTTATTAATTTTTCTAAAGGATGAATATAAAACAAACAAAAATTTGGAAAAAGCTCTTAAAGCCTATTCTGTCTAATAATAATATTGTACAATAAACTCAATTTTTTATACACACAGGTTTTATGAAGATGTATTTATTCAAAAAAAAGTGCATATGTAGGATAGCTATTTTTTTTCTCAACATAAAAAGAATGAGCTATGGAAATCTTGTACAACAGAAAATCATTTTTGGCAAATGCCTATAAAAGTAATTTAACACAACTCGCTTTGGGCAGAACAAAATAAATGGATCCACAAAACCAACATTGCCTCAAGACATGGTGTAAAAGGGTAGATGAAATAATTTTTGTTGAAAACTTAATTTGCTATTATATTTAAGGCTGCAACGGTAACGTGTAAACGAACACATTTAGGACAGTGCCACTAAACGTTTAGAAAATGGACAATCATTTAAACAAAAAATAACTTTCGTCGGTTTGTTTTGATTTTGGTATTTCCGCCGATAGGTTTGCTAACGTATCTATGTACAAACATATTACGTAAGCAGGTTGATCATAGATGCGTTAAAACTGTCAGGGGCGTCTTTGTTTTATTGCTACACACTGTTTCACGTAAAAAGGCCAAAATTATCGGAGTAACCAATCATCCATCTTGAATTACCCATTGAATAACCAGTATCTTTAAAATGAACGAGGATACATTGTTGTGGTTGGATAATAAATGTTTTATAAATAGATTGTTTTTTCCCAGTCACCAATCTAGCCTTTGCACAAAACAAAAGAACCGAGTATATGACTATAGGATATCTATCTCATGAACGTAATCTTGAAGGCGTTGATTCAATATTTGTGATTTTTTTTATGCCTCTTAGTTTTGATGACAATTATTTTTAACGACATCTCTCATTGATGTCTACTTCAATTTATTTGGGCCAATAAAGTGTCCTGTGACATAAAAGAGAAAACACAGCACAACTGCCCGAGTGAAAATTCTTAAACTTTATTCCCTCTGTCATACAATATGAAGTAAATAGTATTTTCATAGAAACGCAATGTTTTACATCAATTGTCGACTTTGACACTGTAACCGTATTGAAATAAAATGAATCTATTGAAAAATCATCACAATCCGCTTAAATGGTACAATTTCGATTAATAACTTTTGTACAAATGTTTACAGAAAGTGCTTAACGTCGCAGCCTTAATTATATTATATCTTTAGCAAAGAAAGGAAATAAAAATGTAAAATTAAAAAGAGTCTTCTTCACCACACCATATCTGTGAGAACCTGCATGAGATATTTGTTCCACAGTAAAAGTAAAAAAAAGCTCGTCGAACTTGAAAGATGTGAATCAGTTTGAAACATGATGTGATTTTTTATATAAGATAAAATATACAGTAAAATGATTGAGAAACTGTAGCTGTAGATAGTTGATGAAAGGGATAAATATTTTAATTTCCTGTTTTAAAAACAGCTGAAGATAGACAATAAACTGGAGTTGTTGCAGACATACAAACCATTTTCAACAATGCTCTGAAGTAAATGTAAATTTCTTAATAAAATACCAAGTGATACTTACAATTTGACTAGGTTAGATAATTCATTAAATGATCCAGATTTCAAAATACTCAGCTCATTTTCATTTAATCCCCTGAAAATATAATATACGGTAATAATATCTCTACATTATTGCAGTAACGCACTGCTTTGTTTTTGTTTTTTTTTTGTCTACTTCTGGTCACGCTCCCCAGCCAAAACTGCACATACCACAGATTATCTGACATCATTATCTCTTATACTTAGCGTGTCGCTATTGTTTAAATGTAAAATGACGCATCTTCACCCAACCGGAAATGACGTAGGACTTTAACCGTTCATTACGTCTTTCGACTACCTGCTATTATTCTAAATCTATTTTGAACATAATTTTTGTTTTGTTGATAACTTTATACTAATGTCTAAAAGATAGCAATTTAAGAAATTTCAAATTTTGACTTTTGTCGCTGACTTTTGGAGATTTTATTTAAAGCATTATTTAAACTTCCACAATTTTATTGCGATCGATCTGACAATTTACATGTAGATAAACATTTTGATTGCGAACAAAAATATGCTTTCAAAATTTAGATATCACTTCCGGTTTTGAGGTCATTCGCCTCCAAACTTCAAATTTCAACTTCCGGGATTTTGTAGATATTTGAAAAATTCTTTTTTTTCCAATTAGTTATAATTGTCCCCGTAAAGATTTTGGAATGACAAAATTTGACCCGGATTTATTGTGTAAGACGCCATCTTGATATGACTCACTTTTATAAAACTCAAAATGAGCCTCAGGGTAAAATCGATTGCCTACAAAACATGGGAAGCCGATTTTTTAATTTTGGCTTTGTATTTTTTTTATTTCCGGTTTTATGTTTTCAGTAATTGTTAAAACTATTAAGGCTCATATCTAGTGACTTTGACCTTTGGTGACCTTGTGACCTGAACAAAAGTTGTTGCCTCTTACGAGATCTATCCGATTATATCTCCACTTTTGTTGTGCATCGTTAACTTTGGGTTCTACAGCCATTGGAAAATCGCGATTTTTAACTTTGAAGAGCTCTGTCACGTGACCTAATTAACATACGACAAAAATTCTTATATATTCTTTGAGTGCATGAAATTTCCTTTTGGTGATATATCACAATTGACATTTTGATCAAAATTGCGCGTTTTAAAAATTGAAAATTTTGTACCGACTTCTAAAGTAACTGTGCGTAAATTCACGGTGTCTATAATCTACCGACAGTCACCGTTGCCTTAAAAAAACTTTTAACTACGAAAATCTCATGATCTAATGATTGTAAACACTTGAAATTTTGAACATTATTTAACAATGTACACATCATCACAGACAAATTGAAATTTTTGAAGTAGGCGTGGCACATCCGGTGTGCATTTACCATTACCTGAAATATTTGCATTTGTTACAACTCGCATAGTTTTCAATTTTCACCCTAGAAATTTTGCATGAAAATAGATTACTACTTAGGACAATTTGTGATAACATTACAGTTGTTTGCGTTCTTCACTATAAAAAAGGGAATAGGTTTAACAATTTTGTAAAATTTTCATTTTTGATCTTTAACATAAATGACCTTGACCTTTGCATGGTCAAAGGTCATTGACTTACGATGACCATTCTTACTTTGATCTTTGATGTCCGATATATACTTCCGGTTTTGCAAACGTCCAAAAACAGCAATTTTTGAAACTTCAAAGGCTCATATTACTTTAATTTGAGCTTTGTTGACCTTTTGACCTGAACAAAAGTTGTTGTCCATTACGAGATATATCCGATAATATCTTCACTTTTGTTGTGCACCGTTAACTTCCGGTTCTACAGCCAATTAAAAATCGCGATTTTTAACTTTGAAGAGCTCTGTCACGTGACATAATTAACATAGGACGAAAAATTCTTATATATTCTTTGAGTGCATGAAATCTCCTTTTTGGTGATATATCACACTTGACATTTTGATCAAAATTGCGCGTTTTAAAAATCAATAATTTTGTTTTGACTTCTATAGTAACTGTGCGTAAATTCACGGTGTCTTTAATCTACCGACAGTCACAGTTGCCTTAAAAAAAACTTTTAACTACGAATATCTCATGATCTAATAATAAACACTTGAAATTTTGAACATTATTTGACATTGTACACATCATCACAGACAAATTAAAATTTTTGAAGTGGGAGTGGCACATCCGGTGTGCATTTACCTTTACCTCAAATATTTGCAATTGTTATAACTCTCATAGTTTTCAATTGTCACCCTAGAAATTTTGCATGAAAATAGATCACTGCTTTGGACAATTTGTGATAAGATTACAGTTGTTTGCATTCTTTACTTTAAAAAAGGGAATAGGTTTAAAAATTTTATAAATTTTCATTTTTGATCTTTAACATAAATGACCTTGACCTTTGCATGGTCAAAGGTCATTGACTAAGGATGACCATTCTTACCTTGATCTCCGATATATACTTCCTGTTTTGCAGACCTCCAAAACAGCAATTTTCGAAACTTCAAAGGCTCATATTACTTTTATTTGACATTTGTTGACCTTTTGACCTGAACAAAAGTTGTTGCCCCTTACGAGATATATCCGATAATATCTTCACTTTTGTTGTGCATTGTTAACTTCCGGTTCTACAGCAATTTGAAAATCGTGATTTTTAACTTTGAAGAGCTGTCACTTGACCTAATTAACATACGACAAAATTTCTTATATATTCTTAGAGTGCATGATCTCTCCTTTTTGGTGATATATCACACTTGATATTTTGATCAAAATTGCGCGTTTTAAAATTTTAAAATTTTGTACTGACTGTGACTGTGCGTAAATTCACGTTGTCTATAATCTACCGACAGTAACCTTTGCCTTAAAAAACGTAAAACTGCAAATAACTCATGATCTAATGATTGTAAACTCTTGCAATTTTGAACATTATTTAACAATGTACACATCATCACAGACAAATTAAAATTTTGAAGTGGGAGTGGCACATCCGGTGGGCATTTACCTTTACATGAAATATTTGCAATTGTCATAACTCGCAAAGTTTGCAATTGTCATCCTAGAAATTTGCATGAATGTAGATCACTACTTAGGAAAATCGGTGATAAGATTACAGTTGTATGCGTTCTTTACTTTAAAAAAGGGAACAGGTTTAACAATTTTAAAAATTTTCATTTTTGAACTTTAACGTAAATGACCTTGACCTTTGCACGGTTAAAGGTCATTGATCTAAGATGACCATTCTTCCGTTAACTTCCGGTTCTACAGCCAAAT